ATAATTTGTTTTGTTTTGTATATGAGAATTTGAGCTCCAAAAGAAGGTTTAGGTGAAAATATACTTTATTTAATTTTTATTTCTGGTAGATAAATTCTTCTTATAGGTATTAAATAATATTGTAAAATTTTCATGGTACACTACTTGGTTCTAATAAACTAGAAAAATAGATTCCAACAAAATCTTGTCATTTGAAGTTATATTCTTTAATGTATGTCTCTAAATCATCAGTTATCTATACATCCTTTGACTTCTATCTTGCCTGGTTCTTGCTTCCCAAACTACATTTTGTAGTGATGCCAATAAAGACTACTTCCTACTTCATGTATTGTACACCAGAAAAATTCCAACATCTGGTAATGACAACCTCCTCCATTCTTAAGAATCAGAGCACTGCATGCATTGCTCTCCTTTATCCTCCATGGTTTATATGTAATCAATTTACAGTCTTGATATCTCTATGCCCATCTCTCTTTTCTTATTCCCTGTCATCTCACTAATTCAAACTTGAATAATTTCATACCTGGATTTCTCATGAATCTTCTCACTGATTGGCCTGATGTAAAACTCTTCTCCTTATAGTTTATTAAACAAAATACTTTTATACAAATATTCCTTAAATAATTATAGCAACTATTTATTTACTAAGGGCTTACTTTGTACAAAGTGCTTTATAGCTCTTACCTATATTATTTAATGACTACAAAAACTCTATGACATAGGTATTATCCCCATTTTATAGATGAGAAAATTGATATTTAGAAAAGTTAGTAATTTAACCAAGGATACACATAAGAAGCAGTAAAACTGGTATTTGAAACCAGGTCAATTATACTTCAAAGCCTGTGCTTTTCCACCACATCTTGATGCTGTTCTATGACTTTAGACCATGCCTGTTCTCAAAGGAGTTCCCTACTGATGCCCTTTCCCAAAGGTCAACATCACTGCATGGCTTGCAAAGCTCACCATAATTATATCCTACCTAAAAAACTTTCCAGTTACTTTCAATGTGTACATCTCTCATCAGATGTGTCTCTTCAGACTCTCTCTTGTAAATTGGCTATTGTGTGTTATCATATACTTTGAGAAAAAATATATAATTATAAAAATAATACACGCTAAATTAAAGGTCAAGCAATATAAAAGTGACTAAAGTAGAAAATGGAAGTCTTCCATCATTAGAGTGAGCATTAAAGAAAGACTACAGGTCATAGAGGTATGCTTGCACAGTCTAATTTTAAAAAGAAACCATTACCCTGGCTAGATAGCTCGGGTGGTTGGAGCATCATCCCAAATGTGCCAGGGTTGTGGGTTTGATCCCTGGTCAGGGCACATGCAACAAACAACGACTGAATGAATACATGAATGGGTGGAGCAGCAAGTTGATATTTCTCTCTCTCTCTCCCTCTCTCTCTCTCTCTCATCAATTAATACAAACTTTTCAAAATAAAAAGGAAACCATGATTTTTAATATTTTAACTGGGCTATCATACCTGGTGACAAAAGGGTTGCATCAAAATAGCTATGTAGCCTTGACTGGTTCGCTCAGTGGTTAGAGCGTCAGCCTTAGGACCAAAGGATCTCGGGGTCAATTCTAGTCAAGGGCATGTACCTGGGTTGCAGGTCTGATCCCTGGCCCAGCTTGGGATCATGTGGGAGATAGCCAATCCATGTTTCTCTCTCTCTCCCTCCCTCCCTTCCATTCTATCTAAAAATCAATGTAAAAATATCCTCAGGTGAGGATACAAAATAAAAATTAAAAAGTAGCCATGTAAAAAATATCCTATTTATGGTTTTTCTTGCCTTGTTTGCTTTATTTTCTGCTGTCTGCCTATTTAGATTTCACTAATCTTTCAGGGCCTAGCTGAAGTCACAACTTTTAACCCCTACTCCCTTTTTAAGATAGAACTTTGCCCTGGCCGGTTTGGCTTAGCAGTTGAGCGTTGGCCCACAGACCAAGGAATCTCAGCTTCAGTTCCGGTCAAGGGCAGGTACCTCAGTTGTGGTTAGGTCCCTAGTCCTGGCCCTGGTTGGGGTTGTGCAAGAGGCAACCAATCAATGTAAATTTGTAATTAATGATTTGATGGTTATAGTAGAATACTAGAATATTTTTTATAGGGTGGTTTTACTTTGTTTTTAATAGGTACTATACTTTATAAATATCAAAGCACTATCACATTTTATTATTTAATTTGACCCTCACAAAATCTTTCCGCAGCTGAGAGGATGGAAATTATTTTTCTAGGCTGTTCAAAGAGGTAACAGAGATTTGGAACAGTTTACAAAGTTAACTCATTGAACAAGTGTCTAAGCAACTACTATGGGCCAGTCACTGTTTTAGTTATGGTTACATGTCTTTCTTTTTCTTTTTTTTTTTTTATCCTCACTCGAGGACATTTTTTGATATTTTGTTCAGATAGAGCGGGGGGGGGGGGGGGGGAGAGAGAAACATCGATGTGAAAGGGATACATCGAGTGGCCGCCACCCACACGACCCAACCAGGGCTGGGGACAAACTGCAACCGAGGTACGTGCCCTTAGCGGAACCGAACCCGGGTCTCTCTGGACCACAGGCTGACGCTCTAACCGCTGAGCCAAACCGGCCACGGTTACATGTTTTTCTAATGGCTGAGCCGGAGTCAGAATTCTTGATCCAGGATGTCCATGAAACCATAGCCACATCGCATTTATTTATGGCTGCCCTTCTGGAGACCACTTTAAAAAAAGCCCAAGATGCAAGTTATGGTAAATATATATGCTGGGGTGTACCAAAAAACATAAGCCTTTTGAGTATGAGCTATAATGGAAAGGTTTTTGTGTTTGACAAGTTGCATGTCTCATGCATTTTTATGGAGCAGGAAGTACATATTTTTGTATATGGATTAAAGGTTTAGAATTCTTAATTATATAACCCTCAGGGTGCAAGGTATGTGTCAGCAACCATAATAAAAACATATTTTATGAAGCAATTTTAAACTTAATAGCTGTATATCTTTGCATTCTTTAAAGAATTTGCAAGCAAATCCAAAGACTTCACATAACTCCTAAGATTATTTTTTAAATCTGAAAAATAAAAACTTGGTCAAATCTTATTTTCAAAGAGGTCCTGAAGTGAGATTTATAGTAATATCATTTCTGGAATGTAAAATAAGTTATTTCCTAAGTTGTCTTCTCAGTGTTTTGTTTTTGCTTTTCACAGAATTTATGCCTAATTTAGAATGGATTTAAGAAAGTGTTCTTTTTGCCCTGGCTGGTTTGGCTCAGCGGTTAGAGCGTCGGCCTGCGGTCCAGAGAGACCTAACTTCGGTTCTCGCTAAGGGCATGTACCTCGGTTGCAGTTTGTCCCCGGCCCTGGTTGGTCGTGCAGATGGCAGCCGCTCCATGTGTCCCTTTCATGTCGATGTCTCTCTCTCTCTCTCTCTCTCTCCCCCTCCCACTCTACCTGAACAAAAAATGGAAAAATGTCCTCAGGTGAGGATAAAAAAAAAAAAAAAAAAAAAGAAAGTGTTCTTTTAACAAGTGTGCCTTCAATGTTTTTTGTTTTTTTTGTTTTGTTTTTTTTTGTATGTGCCCCTAGCGGGAACCAAATCCAGGACTCTGGTTTGCAGGCCAACGCTCCAACCGCTGAGCCAAACCGGCCAGGTCGGCCTTCAATGTTTAAATTACAGATGGAGCCCTACTCTTTTAACTATTTTTGAGTCTACTTGACTTGATTACTTATATTAGGCTGAAAACTTCAGGCGTGTGGATATATGCACATATGCATTTAACAGACATATACCCAGCTTCCATTTTAAAATGGTATATTTTTAGTTACTATTACAGAGATATTAACAATGACTAGGAGAGTAGGGCCGAAAAAGTGTTTCCACATATCAAATCCCAATACTGGAAGCGTAAGTCACACGTTTGTTGGTTTTTTACACGGTGCTGTGAACAGTTTCCATGGTCCCTGTCCACTGGCCTTCCTGCTCTCCAGTGCTGATGTGGTCAAACTAGTCCAGTGACTCTGAAGGAAAGGCGCATACCTTGGTGTCAGCCTTACTGTGTTGCCCTCTGTCCTTGAACCACAGTTACTGGCTTTAGGGGCCTGGGCACACACACTCTGAAACCCTACAGCAGAGGCAGGACAGCAGCAGCAGATGCACCCATGGCACCGTCCACGCCGCGCCACGCCAGCGTTTCTTTTTCAGTGGCCAGGAGTCTAAGGCAAGGCCACGGAGGAGTAGATCCTCTGCCGACGTAGGGTGGGTGACACCTCAGAGGTGTTTCCTCCCTTCTTCCATAACTGCACGGGGAACCTTGGCTTGGTTCCTTGGGACAGCCACCTCTCAGTGGCACTGGAGGTGACACTCGGATGAAACACTGGGCCCGCACTGTCAATGGTCGGCCCCTAAATTCATATCCCTTAGCGCGGTGCTCCACTTCGAGAGCCGAGACCACAGGGCCGAATCCATTCAGGCAAACGCGATTCAGGGAAGCCGGGGAATTTTAGGGAGTAACCGATGCGCGGGTTCCCGCCTCTTCCAGACCGCGCGCTAAAATCAAACTCGACGCCGGCTCGTTGGGGGCCGGGCCGCGCGCGCTCCGCTCCCTCAGTCGGCACAGCCGCGGCGGCCGCCCGCCCTGCCGCGGAGCTGGGCGGGGCCGCCTCGAGGCAGCCGGGAAAGGCCGGCCGAAGAGGAAGAGACGCGGGAGGTGCGCTCTGCGCAGGCGCGCAGCGCCCCGCCTCCCCAGCGTCGGCTTAAGGCAGGCGGCGCGGGCCCTCCCACTCTCCCCCGCGCCGCCTGACGGCCCCGGCCTTCGCTTCACCCCGACGCCCCGGCGTGCGCGTCCTCCCGCCTGCCTGCAGGCCCGGGGCCTCCGCCGGCCTGCCCACCGCAGCTCCTCGCGGCCCCGGCTCGCTTTCACGCTGTCGCCTGGGCCAGCGCGGCCGCGGGCAACCGCTCCCCCTCCCACACCTACCCCGCCCCCTCCCCGCCTTTTCCGCCCTGCCTTCCCCCTCCCTCGACCCGCCGCCGCTGCTCCAGATGAGGTGATGGCAACGGCCAACTTCGGCAAGATCCAGATCGGGATTTACGTGGAGATCAAGCGGAGCGATGGTGAGCCGCGCCGCCGCCCTGCCGGCCGGGCCCGCGTTCGGGTGTGCAGCGAAGGGACGCGGGCGCCGGCCGCCTCATTGATTGCTCCACTGGGCTGTGGGGGCGGGAAGGCGGCGGCCGCGGCGCTTTTGTGTGTGGCGTGTGTGCTAGTGAGGCCGGCCTCCGGTCCACCTCCGGTGCTGCTGCAGTGCCGAGGGGCGGGGGCCGGGGCCGAGGGAGGCCGGCGCGGCAGGCTCGGTGTCGCGGTCCGTGTCTTTGGGGGCGTCGGGCGGGCGCGGTGCGGGTCCCGGGCCGGGGGCCCCTCGCTCCTCCCGCGATCTCCATCCTCCCCGGGGACTCCAGTCGGGGACTCCAGTCGAGGGCGGGGAGGATGGGGGCAGCGGGCTTGGCGAGGGGTGACCCACCCTCGCGTTGCACCCGGTTCTTTTCATTCCCCCCCTCATCGCCGAGGGGTGGGGGCTGGGGCGCGCGAGAGACCAGTGATTTCAGTATTGCGAGAACCCTGCTGGTGAGGCCGCGGCGGAGGGAGGAGGCCGACCCCCGGGCCTAAACTGCGGGGTGGCTGTCAGGGTTCTGCTTCGGCTTTCGTTTCTCCGACATGCCTCCTTTTTGCTCGTCCCTTCCTTGGAGAAGGATGCGGAGAATGTCGTGCTCAGCCATGAATAAGGGCGGGGGAGCAGGGCAAAGAAGTGTTCGATCAGCTTCCCAGAGGTGATGAGCCTGGTCAGCGCCGGGCCCTGCTGAGGATGCGCCACTGGATGTGGGTATTTTCACACCCTGCGGAGAGGAGACGGAGAGAGAGGTGTAAGGCGAGGTGCTTACACATGCTCAGTTGGGGTGGGGGGGCTGAGGCTTACGGATCTTTCTGTAGTCTCCTCTTGGCGAAAATGTTTTCTGTCACCAGCTTGAGATGTGGAGTGAGACGCCAGTCCGGCTTGGAAATGATTTCTATTGCCAAGGAGAAAACGCATCAAGAGAAAGAATTAGAGGTGTGAGGTGTGCTCGACTCCCATCTCTCTTATACCATACCTTGAACGTACAGTGTATTATCCAGAGCCTCCCAAGTGGTGATGTTACTATCACATCCCCACCGTCTTGGTTTCTACCAAGTTTGACCAAGTTATGTGAAACTAAATGGTTTTTTCACCTATTCTGTGGGATATATTGGAAGATCTATACTGTTGAGTTTTCCCCCTTCATTATATTTGAGATAATTTGTATGAACAACTGGAAGCATCATGAGAGAAGATAAATTATACCACTTAGAGCTTTAGAAGTTACCAGTGACACTAGTGGGAAAGAGATGTCTTCTTTAGTTGGGTTGGGGTTTCTTTATATTATCTTCAAATTACTTTCCCTAAACTGTGTTGTTACTGTCATTTCTTAGGTGAATGAGGGTTCACTGTATACAAGCAAAAGTAAGATTTGAGTATTATTTAAATTTTTGGAATGAAATAAGATGTGCAAGTTCTTTACATTCTAAGCCTTTAACTATGATTATAGGTATTAGTTTAAAATCTATCAGAAGAAGAAAAACTATCCTGACATTTGGAAGGTTTGTATATATTTCTTCTAGACTAATATCTTTTTATTTAAGCATACTGGTTTTGAAACAATTTTGGTTCTTTTAGGGTTTTAGGGTAGAGCTTTTAATACTCATTTAGCCTTTCACCTTCTACCTATACTGGAAACCCAGGCATGTAAGAGCTTTGTGTTCTTACATAAGTGCTAGTAACCTAAAATCAGGTTTCAAAGCATTTTGCCCATGAGAAATAATGGAAGTCATTACAATCTATACTGTGCTAACCTATAGTCATGCACATATTTCTGCACCTCAGATGCATGATGGTGTTTGGTGGAAGGTAAAAGTTAAGTAGAGAACTTGAAGAGAATGAATGATTATTTGCATTGGATGGTACTGTTTCACAGTGGAAATTGATGTCTGGGAGACTCCCTTTAAGCTTTCCTTTTTTCATTTTAAAGAAGCTGTTTTGTTTCCTCCCACTTTTATAGCAGATCTGTATTTGACAAAACACTAGTGGTTATTGTAACAAAAATAAACTTTGTAGTTGGATGAGCTGCATGAGACAATGGAAATCACATGAGTTAAGAAGGGCTGCTCCAGGCAGATACTAACTGGTGACTTGATGCTTGCTAATGGTGATCCTTGTCCTTGTCTTAAAGCATGCTTCTCCCACATGTGATGCTCTTTATTAACAAAACATACCAAGGACAAACAGATAAACTAAAATGAATTTATTCCTATCTTTCAAGATCCTGCTCAAAACTAATCCCAATAAGTCTTCACTTGTTACTAAAGCCAGATGGCTAGTTAGCCTCTGAATTCCTAAGTCATTCTGTACCACTCATGATACAGCATATTTCCTTAAGTATTAATATTTGTGTTTATTTCTTTTAATATTATGTACTAGAGAAGTGGTGGAGTGGAGAATGCAAGGATGGCAGACTACCTACACTCATTTCAACCAGTCCAGTGTGTTATAGGATTAAAATACTAATAGACTCTTAAATTCCCTCAATTCATTTGTGTGTCCCCCGTGTGACTAGCAGAGTTCCTTGCATGTAGTTTTTTTTTTCTTTAATCCTCACCCAAGGACATTTTTCCATTTTTTGTTCAGATAGAGTGGGAGGGGGAGAGAGAGAGAAGAAACATCAACATGAAAGGGACACATCAAGTGGTTGCCACCCGCATGACCCAACCAGGGCTGGGGACAAACTGCCACCGAGGTACGTGCCCTTAGCAGGAACTGAACCCAGGTCTCTCTGGACCGCAGGCCGATGCTCTAACCGCTGAGACAAACTGGCCAGGGCTGCATGTAGTTTCTGAGCGAATCATTTGCCCTGGCTAGTGTGGCTCAGCGGTTAGAGTGTCCGCCCGTGGGTGAGGATTTAAAAAATTCATTTATTATTGGATTTGGGTTTTAAAACATTTTAATTAACCATTCAGATGAACTCTTACCAAGGAGTGAAAATCCTCAATCTATGCTCATCCTGTGTTGCCACCTCCCTACTCTAGCCCCCTATATTCCATACAGCCCTTTTGGTTCAGAATCCCCAGAGTTGACTGAAATTGAGTGATCTGCTAAGGCGAATTTGCTTTCTGGTATTCTAAGGTTAGAAGTGTTAGGTTAGTTAGGCTTGGACTTCTGAGATTGTTCCCAGCTACAAGAGATAACATGGTATGAAATGAGACTGGTTTCTGGAAATGAATGCTCATGTATAATTTTGTTTCTTAAATGTGTCTTCCTGTTATCTTTTTGATTCAATTCCTTTTTAGAATCCAGAGACTCTAAAAACTAAACCACAATCCTACTGTTGTGTGGCTGGATAGTCTTTATTGAGAAATTTTAAACTGGACTGTTAAAACATTTTTTAAATGTTCTACAGTAGTTGTAACTACCCTTTGGGGACTAGGGAAGGGACAAGAAATATTTTGAATATTTAGAAGCTGCAATCAAGATTTTTCTTGGGGTCTCTTAGTCACAGTATTGACATAATTGACATACATGATCTGAAGAGAATCAGACTGTTTCAATCAGAAAGAGTCTTGGAGTTAATCTAGTTCTTATTTTTATAAATGTGGAAACTCAGTCTCAAGTAACCGTAAGTGACTTGTCAAGATTAATTTTTATAGCATAGAAACCAGACTATCTATCAAGAATTGTTGAGAGTAGCCCTGGCCAGTTTGGGTCAGCAATTTTAGCATTGGCCTGAGAATTGAAGGGTCTTGAGCTTGATTCCCAGTCAAGGGCGCCTACCTGGGTTGCAGGTTCAGCCACATTTGGGGTCCTGGGGGGAGGCAACTAATCAATGTGTCGCTCTTACATCTGATGTTTTTCTCTTCTCTCCTTATCCCCCCCCCCCCACTCTATCTACTCTATCTTAAAAAAAATCAATGGAAAAATATCCTCGAGTGAGGATTAACAAAAAAAGAAAAAGAAAAGAAAAGGATTGTGAGAGTAAAGAGAGAATTCTCTGTTATTTGGGAACCATATATCGTTTTCCACAGCCCAATCAAGATGTAGGAAATTGCTTCTCATTCATGGGAAAGCACTAGAGAGCAGTTTTATAGGGGCCAGTTGGTGGAGTGATCTGATAGAAAAGTGGTGTGGTGCCCAGCCGGTATGGCTCGCTGGTTGAGTGTCGACCCATGCACCAAGAGGTCGCCAGTTCGATTCCTGGTCAGGGCACATGCCCAGGTTGTGGTCCCAATCCCCATTGGGGGTCATATAGGAGGTGGCTAGTCAATGTTCTCTTTCACTGATGTTTCTCTCTCTCCCTCTCCCTCTCTAAAATCAATAAAGAAAAAAAATATTTTTTTAAAAAAGTAGTGTGGTATGTTTAGAAGGTCACAAAACCCAAAATTGTGGGAGGAAAATATTCCTGTTTCTTAATTAAATATTGGTGAAAAGACTGCTTTAATTAAGCATCCAAAATCTAGAGGAAATTGACTATTTCAAAGGACTCATCAGGGATCTTGGCGTATAGGATAAGCAATCTTTAGAAAATACTTTATTTTTATTTTTTTAGAGAGAGATAGGAAGGGAGAGAGAGAAACTTCCATGTGAGAAAGAAACATCAGTCAGCTGCCTCCTACTCGCTCCTTACTGGGGATCGAGTTCGAAACCAGGACACACGCCCCAATCAGGAGTCGAACCGGGACCTCTCAGTCCATGGGACTATGCTCAATCCACTGAGCCTAGAAAATATTTTAAATGTCCTAATTCTCTACCTGCTTTGCCACATTTATTCTTCTGCTAGTTCATCTTTGTATGTCATTATATAGGCTTTTGGAGAAAAACTTTTATGAATGTAGGTATTAAAAATATACTACTAAGCAATATAGTTGTTATTTAGGTACTATTGTGTTATTGATAATGGAGTGAGTGGAATGGGGGAATTTGTTTATTAATAATTTCCTTTTACATGATGACTAGCATAATAATGGTTCCATATATGTATTTGTTAGGCCTTCATAA